AGTAGAGAAAGCTTCATGTAATGATATCGCACTGTGTGACTTTGCGAGGTTTCAAATCCCGTAACTAAGTAATAATACTCCGGTCGTCGTTCTCGTCGAACCCGTCGCTTGCGACGAAGGGCTCGGCGTGTAAACTAACCCACAGACACAGCCCACTGAGTTTCTCGCTAGATCTTCTCAGTGGGTCGCGTTTCGGATCCGATGGTAGATTCTGCGAAGCACGGCTCTTACTACCTTCTTGTTCGTGTTAGCAACAACGTCAGGTTTGCGACCCGTGAGCTCACCTACTCGCCCGGTTACGCTGATATGGTCTCTCAAGACCGTCATCTTAGGTAGGAAAGAAAAACCATACTTTTAAGGGGNGCGCCCGCAGCTCACTCTCGGGGACACGCGCCACGCCCCGAGCACGAAGCTCGCTGCGCCACCGATAGTCGGCAGCGAGCGACTCCGCCTCCAGCTCCCATGGCGGCGTCCCCGCCAAAACACACGCCGCCTCGAAGGAGACGGTGCGATATCCGCGGATGACCCTGATGGCAACGGTGCGCTGCGGCCGGCGCAGGAAACTTTTTACCTTACAGTAACGTTGATAAATGGTAGCTTACTAAGGGTAGCAATAATAAAATAATAATATGTTGATTTCACGAATTTTAAAAATTCATTACTAACCGAATTTTTCTTTGTTAATTATCGAGATAATTATCTCAATAACGTGAAAAATATTTGTCCTACAAAATATAAGGTTTTGTTAGGGAGTCCTCCCTCTCAAACATGTATCATAAACAAGATCATGAAAAATAATTACTAACCAGCTGATTTTTTTTTTATTGGTTAGCTAACATTTGCATAGTTTTAATTAAAGCGGTAATGGGAATTTTATCAAAAAAATTAATACAGTAATGTCACTAAAGATTTTCTCTTTTAAAACAGCAGAATTATGTATTTTTCTATAAATGGAAGAAAAATAATGAAAATAAAAATGGTGGTGGCTCATAAAGAGTTATAGAACATAAAACAATTATCTTTGAAATTATTTTAGTCTGTTTGTTTTTTCGCGCACATTTACGAAGCTACTGATTTTCATGAAGCTTTCACTTATATGCAATGAATATATAGTCTATATAGTCTAATAATGAATAATAATGAATAATTAGGAACAGAATATAGTCTAATATAGTCAAATTTTTTATGGCAACGAGCTCACAGCCCACCTGGTGTTAAGTGGTTACTGGAGCCCATAGACATCTACAACGTAAATGCACCACCCATCTTGAAATATAAGTTCTAAGGTCTCAAGTATAGTTAAAACGGCTGCCCCACCCTTCAAACCAAAGCGCATTACTTCTTCACGGCAGAAATAGGCTGGGTGGTGGTACCTACCCTTGCGGACTCACAAGAGGTCCTACCAGTAATTATCCAAATTATAATTTTGCGGGTTTGATTTTTATTACACGATGTTATTCCTTTACCGTGGAAGTCAATCGTGAACATTTGTTGGGTACGTATTCCATTAGAAAAATTGGTACTCGCCTGGGATTCGAACACCGTTGCATCGCTCAACACTTAGATGTTTTGCAAAATAAGTAATCGTCATTGTTTAACATTTTTGCAAACTATGTTATTTTAAATTGTTATATGTCGCATAAGAAATAATAACATTATTAATATGAAAATATTTATGTCACTTTATCACGTCCAAACCACTGAAAGAAGACGAAATACGAGTATGAAAATACTGATCTTTGCTAACTGTACACGGGGTCGGAGTTCAAGTCGGGTTTAGAGTTCAGCAAGTTTGTTAAGTTTTTTTGTTTTCAGAGTCGAAGTGTACTATTGTGTGTTTTTAGTCAATACATAACAAAGAAGAAACTTACAGCGTGAAATCGTAGCCAGTGGAATGCGGGAGTCTTTTCTTTTATAAACAATCTAGGCATTTTCAACGAAATTAATTTATGGTCTGCTCCGTTCAATTTAAACTTTATTTGCGTAAATATATCGACGCAAGTCGGATACAGAACTATCTATGTTTGTATCAGCAATAAAAACGACTTCGACAACCCATCGATTTCGCGTTCCCATTTAAGATTCGAACACACGATCATTTGTGATCACGCAACCATATAGCTCGGCGACTTTGGCGTAGATAAATTTTGTTACAGCAATAGTTAGTTTATCGGAACGATAATTGTTGACATGAGAATCGGCTTTATTATATTAGTGTACGAAGGATTTAGAGGACAAACGCGATCCAAATTCAAATTCAAATTCAAAATCATTTATTTCAACTTAGATGTCAGTATAACACACTTGTTGAATGTCAAACTAAAAATAAAAATTACAATTTGAACTCTACCACCGGTTTCGAAAAAAGCCACAGTCCTGAGAAGAACCGGCGAAACAAACTCAGCGGTTTTTTTTTTGTGTTTTCTTAAATATATTTTTTTTTAAATTAGTAATTCGTTTATTTACAAATAAACGAAAAAACAAGTCAAAAAATACAATAATTTTTTTTTATGAAAAATTGAAAAGGTCCATAAGACAAGTCCCATAAAATAGCGGCTACGTGAGCACTATTAAATTACAGAGCTGCTGTAGATGTGTCACGTCATGGTATCCGCATGAATCACGACGTGAGGGCCCGCTTACATAATGCGACCCCGAAAAAAACAGAATGAATTTTCAAGCGACTCTCTCATCTTTTACATGATGAACACAGATCCACAATTTTATCACGTCTTCGTTCTAGTTAATGTTTTTTATTATTACACTATCGGTATTCGTGTATATTTCATTACACAGTTGCGGGGACTGACGTCACAAAATTTAATTAGCTCAGGGAAATAAATCTATAGAAAGAGAAGCAGTGTCGTGAAGCAGTAATGCGTTTTGGTTTGAAGGGTGGGGCAGCCGTTGTAACTATACTTGAGACCTTAGAACTTATATCTCAAGGTGGGTGGTGCATTTACGTTGTAGATGTCTATGGGCCCCAGTAACCACTTAACACCAGGTGGGATGTGAGCTCGTCCACCCATAGAAGCAATATAAAAAAACATTAAGTTTTTTTATGATATAAAATTTTAGATGCCTAAAACGTTATTACGTAAAAACCTTATTAGGACACTGCGCTCGCCTTAAACTGCTGTTTGTCGCGAATCTAGCAAAGACACAGAATCTAGGACGGCGTCAGTGCAAAAGTGTCGTTGGTGAAAACAAACGCTTACGGCTAGTAAGCTAACAGCTAAGAAATAGTTGTATATTCATAGTATGTCTTATTTCAAATGTACTTTTGCCATCGGCGTGAATATCATATAATATTTTTATGTTGTGTTTAAAGCGTCTATGAATTGAGAGATTTTATTGGTGCTTCATTTTTAAATGGCGCCATCCAAGAAAGAGGGTAAACAGACGTGCCACAGACGAAGCCCCGGGCATTAATGGGATGGAGCTGAATATATTTTCGCTAAATATAATACACTAGATGATGACCGGGCTTTGCTCGGTTTTTTTTTGATAACGCCATCTTGCTGTTTCTTTAAAGCGGTTAGTTACCCTCAATTAAGAAAAATAGTATTATTATTCGCCAATAGATGTCGGAATGAGTTAATTATTGAAAACACGGATAAAACAACATTTTCTGAAAATAAATCTTAGCTAGATCAATTTATCGCCCCCGAAATCCCCTGTATACTAAATTTTATGAAAATCGTTGGAGCCGTTTCCGAGATTCAGATTATATATATACAAGAATTGCTCGTTTAAAGGTATAAGATAAGATACGATAGTGTGTTTATGAATTATTTGTTGTTACTTTTAATGTATATTTTCTTGATTTAAACTAACTTGATTTAGACTGGGTCAGTGAATTAAATTATTGTGTTCTTGATAAGATAAAATCATTTGGTTATATTTAATTTAATTTTATGATATCCGTTGATTTGAAAAGGCCCCAAACAAATATTGTTAAATAACAGTTTTTAATTTGATACGTAATTCTTAGAAAACGATTATTATTTCGGGGTGAATAAATCTGATATCAACAATTGTGATATCTGGGCTTCATGTCTGACGCAAGTAGATTATGTTTACACAAATGATACAATTATCAAAGTGTTTTCGTTAAAGCGACTGACCTTTTATCATGTTATTTTTAATGATCAATTAAAATTTTAAAGAATAATACGCAAAACATACTTGTAACTTATAAGGGGAAATTAATAAGAATTAAAAAAATGGTTTTTGTTACTTTAACAAATTATTATAATTGTATTAATGAGGCTACGAACAGAGGATTATAGACTAAATAATCATAACTAAACGATGACCGAGCTTGGCTAGGTTTTTTTTAAATATGTTATATGAAAAAGACACAAATCATATAAATAAACAATTCATTTTCTTGGTCTAACCTTAAACCAAGCACTCATTGGCTTCGCGTGGCTTAACAACGCCATCTGCTGAAATAGCTTAATAGTATTATTATTCACCAATAGATGTCGGGAAGAGTCAATCGATAAAGTTGAAAATAGAAAACACGATTAAAACAACATTTTCTGAAAATAATTAGTAGCTAGATCGATTGATCGCCCCCGAAATTCCCTGTATACTAAATTTTATGAAAATCGTTGGAGCCGTTTCCGAGATTCAGATTATATATATATTAATATACAAGAATTGCTCGTTTAAAGGTATAAGATAAGATTTATTCTAACTGAATATACTATGCTTAATCGTAGTATGTATTCTTTACGTTTTCCCCCAACGACTACTGATATGCCGTATTGTTGGACGGAAATCGTGCCTCTAAACTGCTTATTTCCAGAACCGTTCGCTCTGGCTTGAAACGTTGAAGTGTAGGACAACCATAATTTATCTCAAAGTAAGCGACAGTATTCGTTTTGTTAAGTCTGGTCCTCGAAACACGGTTAACGTGTGGCTTAATATATTTTTTTAATTTTTTTTTTTTTTTTTTATATTGATACGTCGGTTCTTGTTTGATATCTTACCGACGACTTCTAGGGGCGCCGAGCGTATTTCCGTGTGGAATGTTGGCGCGTCGGCTGACACTTCACAACGGAATCGACCCGCCATCGCCGGTGTCGCCTGCTGTAGGACCACGCGCCGCGCTCCTGATCTTGATATCTAAATCGACATAAATACACTTTGTAAGCATCAGGGAATCCTCCGAAGCCGTCTAACGTCCACAATTACACAGCGCGTTGGCGCAAACATGCTTAAAGTAGATAAAGGATTTCTTTTATTCAAACATTAATTACCTATAACAAATTAATTTTGGACCAAAGAATTTATTTACAAAAAAAAAATCAAACATGAAATGAAAAAAGATGTCGCCGAATTCATCTTTTCAATTTTCAGAGAGCGACAGTCCCATTAACATTTTCAAAAGATCTAATTTTCTTCCCAGTAAATACCGTAGCTAAGTCAAGTGGAAATGATTTCGTTACAATGAATGTTTGGGAGGTAATTTGAAATAAATTAATTATTTTTATATATTATTATTTAGTGTGTTTATTTTTAACTCTGTGTAAAATATATTGCATTTCTGTTATGTGTTAATTAAGCGCGCACCGGAGTATACTGCGTTTTCTGCGGAAAACAATACGTTTGGGTTTGAAAGGCAAGAGAGTTTGTTCACTGCAATGAAGACTTAGATTACGCGTCTCAAGATGTGCAGTGACATTCTGTTGTGGTGTTAAATTCGTGAGCATCAAATGAGCCGTAAAGTAACCTCACTACTCATCATCATCATCATTATCCTGCCCTTCTCCCAGTCACCTGGGGTCGGCGCAACATATTTTCTCCTCCATACTCTTCTATCATATACCATTTCTTCGCTCACTCCCCTCCTACCCATATCGTCTTTCACACAATCCATCCATTTCTTCTTAGGTCTACCTCTTCCTCTAAATCCTTCCACATTCATAGTTAACACTCTCTTAACAACCTCATCTTCACTTCGTCTCATCACATGTCCATACCATCCCAAACGTGCACTCCTCAGCACAAAGTAACCTCACTACTAATGCCAATAAAACATGTTGAAATATTGACTTACATCAACTTCTATTCCTGGTAGAGGAAATACTCTGGTGTGAGGTAATTCTTTTGGTATATATCTATAGAATTCTTCTCTTCCGCGATACCATTTGACGCTGTATAGAGCCTCTTCGTCTTCAAGCTGCCAGCTACATTCTAGAGTTACGGTCTCACCGAGTAGGACTGCATTTGGCACGTTGATTTCCAAATTATGGAGGCCTCGTACTCCTGAGAACAATTATTAAGTTTTAATGTAATATTATAAAAAAGTGTTGGAACCTCGAAACTACGAACCGTTTGCTATGATTACTATAAACTGAACCAAATGTAATCTACAATATAGTTAGTATAGTATTTGGTTGTGTACGTATTGTTATAATTTTTTTTTTTTTCGAGTTCTCCTCGAATACGTTTTTAGATTTATTTTGTTCTAAAACAATTTGGTATTATATTATTTCGGTTGCAGCTTCTATTTATGATGATAATTGGGACATGAAAATTAAAGAGTAGTCTTCATTGTACACGGAAATCATACAAATGAACTGTTCAAACACAAAGGTATTATTCAATATCGGCGAGCAAGAATTATTATTGGAAGAAAAGAGGTAAATGATTTTTTGTTATCCAAACACACCGCGCGTTAACTTTAGTTTAAAAAATCACGTAGTACCTTAGAATTAAAAAAATATATCTTGCTTTGTTGCACTAGATGGGTGGATGAGTTCCCGGCGCTAGTGGTAAGTGGTCAGGGGGCTCATAGACCACCATTAACCTACACTTGCTTACTCACAAGGCGCCCTGCCGCCAGTAAATAGCGCCTTGAAAAATACTATATGCGATACATTTTTTGGGGATTTTTTTATTGGCCATGTAGACTTGCCTACGGCCCTAACAGATGGTGAGTGTACCGTCGCTCTTGGACATCAGCAATGCTATGGGCTAAGCCAAGCCGCTAACTAGCATTTTTAATACGTTTTATACTTTCATCGTGGAAATTGTCTGTTAACATGTTTTTTTTTTATTGCTTCGATGGGTGCACGAGCTCACAGCCCACCTGGTGTTCAGTGGTTACTGGAGCCCATAGACATCTATAACGTTAATACGCCACCCACCTTGAGATGTACGTATATATAAGTTTTAAGGTCTCAAGTATAGATACAACGGCTGCCCCACCCCTCAAACCGAAATGCATTATTGCTTCACGGTAGAAATAGGCCAGTTGGTGGTACCTACCCGTGCGGACTCACAAGAGGTCCTACTACTAGTAATTTGTTAATTTAGTATTAATTAATTTAAGTATTTGAAATGTGTTTAAAAAAGATGGTAGTCGCAACGTAGTCAGTCGCATCATTCTATAGGTATACAATAAAATAGTCCCATGATTCGATAATTTTTACACACTGACACTTCTGAAATCTTCATAATAATGTAATCTTTATTAATTTAACTTTACAATTACCATTGAATACATATTTACTCATTGAACGTGAAGCAAAACTTTTAATAATAGAAAAAACAAAGTGACGTGCCATAATATAACAGCTTAATATAGCAAGCACTTAATTTGACAAAGTAGAGAGGTAAGTATAAATAACAAAGAAAACTGTAATATAAAAGAAATCCTTGGTTCCAGCTCAAAGGAGTCCGGAGAATGAAAATGTGGCAGTTCTATGTAAAGGAGCTCAAACAAATATCTCGAGCGAAAGTTCATTTTACTTGACATTTTCGTACATTCTCTCTAAAAATAATAAATGTGATCCGCGTGGATCATCAATTTGAGTGTAATCCTTTTACGATTTCTTACACACAGTGGACGATTTCAGAATTTCTTGATCTTCTGTTAAGCCCTTTCACGTCTAAGATACATATCACACATATTTACATACAAATTACAAGTTGCAGACTGATTTACGTTGTTTAGTGCCACAATGGTTACGTTTGATGATTTACAAACTTGTCAAACAAATGTTGACGATTGACTTCCACGGTGAAGGAATAACATCGTGTAATAAAAATGAAACCCGCAAATTTAAAATGTGCGTAATTACTAGTGGTAGGACCCCTTGTGAGTCCGCGCGGGTGGGTACCGCCACACTGCCTATTTCTGCCGTGAAGTAGTAATGTGTTTTGGTTTGAAGGGTGGGGCAGCCGTTGTAACTATACTTAGGCCTTAGAACTTATATCTCAATTACGTTGTGGATGTCTATGGGCTCCAGTAACCATTTAACACCAGGTGGGCTGTGAGCTCGTCCACCTATCTAAGCAATAAAAAAATGTATGCGGGAGCTGAACCTCACTAAAAACTCCTACTGCTCACAGCTGGCGTCTAACCCCGGACCGGGCTGGAGCTCAGTCGGGATTATTAAGACGGCGGGACAGGGTCGGCGCAGAGCATATTGCATTCATCTCGCTGTCCCCCAGACGCCGGACCGGCAGCCGCCGGCGACACGACCACCGGTTCCCTCGGTTGACGGGCCGGGAACCCGCCTTGATTGACCTTCCCCCGAAGCGAAGCGGTCGGGGGAACACGGTCTACCATCACCCGGCTTGCTATTACAGGCGTGTGGTTTCCTCCCCGCATGAAGCGCGTGGAGCCCGAAGCCCTTAGGGGCCTCACGTACCGATTAAACTTAGGTTTTTTTTATTGACATGACTTCGGACTTTATATGAAGTAAGTATACTTGAACTTGTAAATTAGGTCGCAAATGTTTTTATTTTGGCGGTTGGACCACGTAAACTCTATCCATACTTAAGTATTAATATAATAAATATGAAAGTGTGTTTGTTTGTCCTTCTTTCACGAAGAAACGAAGCAACGGATTGACATGAATTTTTTAAAGTAATAGTGAGTCACATAGGCTACCTTTTATCCCAAAAAAGCATCTAATTCCTACTGACACTTTCCTTAACCATGCGAGCGAAGCCGCGGGATACATCTAGTGAGTATATAAAACAACTAATAATACAAGCAATAGTAAAATGATGCAACATTTTAATAATTGATAACAATTGTAAAGGTACATCATAACAGATCGTAAAATACCAAAATTCACGAAATGTGAATTGATAAGTGCATGATTTTATTTGCATTGCATGAACCTTTGCAGATGAAACATTTGATTTATTTTAACCTTACCGCTTTTATGATAATACTAGCGGCCCGCTCCAGCTTCGCTCAATTTCGAAATAAAAAATTATAATACACACGTATTAACCTTTATATTTGCGTCAGGTTTCTAAAAATAGAAAATTATAAAGGTAGTTTGCATAATTATTATAGTTTTAATGAACTGTTATTTTCATTTAAATAATATTTGTTTTTATCAATTTTTTCATGACTTTTATATTATTAATTTTCTAATTTTCGTAACATTATCGGAGTTTTAGTAAGGATTCCTAATTAAAAAAAAAAGGATTATAGCCTATGTCACTCGGAGATAGTGTAGCTTCCAAACAGTGAAAGAATTTTTCAAATTGGTTCAGTAGTTTCGGAGCCTATTCAATACAAAAAAACAAACAAACAAATCTTTCCTCTTTATAATATTAGTATAGATAAAACGTAATTTACAAATAATCAAAATTCACATTCATCAGGAAATTGAATTTCATAATAATAACTGAGTATACAAAATTATTGTGAAACATCAAACATTCGTAACGTGGACTTTATTTCCATATTTTCCTGTCTTTTATATTTATAATTTTTTTATCTTATATTCCTGCTGTTTTGTCGAATTTCTATTCTTTATGAAGCTAAACTGACGTATAGTCATTTGTCATATAGTAGCGGAAGCCCACAAACTCGTGGACTGGACTCTCCATCAATCAATCACAGGGACACTTTGCCGAGAAATCAATGGCTTTGTATCAAAACGTGTGTGCCCGAAGCCTTTCAATATAGTTTTAGTTATATTCGGTTACATACAGAAAAGGGATCTATAATGCGGGACCAAAATCACGTACTAAAATAAACATTGATATTTGACGCATGAAGGTCTTCAAAATTAATATTCATACGAACATTCTCCCTATACCTATAATTTGTAGTTACAAAGCTTATCGTTAGCATAAATACGACTCCAAATAATGATGATAAATTGCCTACATTTTGAGGCTATGAAACTTCGTAAACATTCTAATTTACGGGAGTTTCAAAAACAACAGTTATTCCATTTCGTGGGAATCATAAAATTGAAACAATTTATTTTAATGTACGTTCACGTATTAATATGAATACAAAAGAGCTTATCATGCCCGAAAACTACTCTTAAATTTATTCATACTAAACTATGTACTTCATTATAATAATAATAATAATAAATACATAGTGACTTATTTAATTTAAAATTTAAAAAAACAACCTACATTATTGTATTAAGTAAAGATTTTCACATAAATCTGTCAAGTCTGTTTTCTTTTTAAATCGTAGTTTAAATTATGGATGGATTATAGAGAATTAAGGGGATTATATTGGTAGAGAACAAGCATCGTATCTGGGTATTAGATGCTCCCTGCGATTGGTCGACCGAAATGTAGGAAAACATTACTGGTGGTAGGACGTCTTGTGAGTCCGCACGGGTAGGTATCACCACCTTGCCTATTTCTGCCGTGAAGCAGTAATGCGTTTCGGTTTGAAGGGTGGGGCAGCCGTTGTACTATTAAAAGTGAGACCTTACTCCTCATTTCTCAAGGTGGGTGGCGGCATTTACATTGTAGATGTCTATGGGCGTCGGTAACCACATAACGGCAGCTGGGCCGTGATCTAAGCATTAAAAAAAGCAACAAATACAAAAGAAAATTGGGCTAAAGCAGAGCCACGCAGAGCCTTCCGTTTTGCAATTTGTTAAAATTAAAACACTGATAATGATGTTTTATAGTAGTAATCAATAAACTTTTAGCCCATCGAATTAACATACCGAAGAAGCGTATTTTCATCATTTCTTCTACTGCTTCCTGGAACGCATTACGCGTACTATTCAATTTTAGCCAGAGAATTAAAGAGCGGAATTGAGTTAGAGGTAAAGAAAATAACTGATGTAACGGACGTGACGTCAGCTGTCATGCCCTGCCGCCAGCCAAGCCGCCAAGCCATATTAACACGCCCCCTTCCGCCACAGCCACCGCCGCCGCCGCCAGCCAAAGCCAACGAAGGGGGGATAGTGTTAATAAAACAAGCCGTGCCAGCCATTTCTACCTGCTTTTTGCATTCTCGCATAAATAAAAGAACT